AAAAAAAAAAAAAAAAAAAAAAAAAAAAAAAAACACTGCCAGGACCCCGGTTGTTCCCTTGTACACCCTCCAAATAACTTTTCCAAAAATATACACTAACATGAGTTAATTTGGTCTGTTTTTAAACTTAAATGGAATCATGCATTATATTATTTTGCATCTGAATGAGTCAATTAAATACATGACTGTAGTTCCATTCATGTTAGTTGAGTTCTGTGATTCTGTAGTATGACTGTATCACAGTTTATCCATTTTCCTTTGATATTTTCATTTGGATTGTTTGATGATTCATTATTATACAGAATGCTGCCGTGAACTTTTTATAGGTGTGTTTTTTGTTGAATATTACATTTTATCTGTTTGTCATTAGTGGATAATACCAAAGTTTGCCAATAAAGTTCTATCAATTTCCATATCCATTAGCAATGCCTAAAAATTGTTCCACATCTTCACCAACATTTGGTGTCACCAATATTTTCTAATTTTATCAGGTCTTGTGAGTGTGTCGTGATATGTCATTGTGCTGGATTGTTTAGTTGCCAACACATTTATCCTGGGAACTACATTTCCTGGAAAATTCTTCCCCACGTGGTTCCTGTTTGAAGTTGGTCAGAAGCAAAGTGGCATGAAATTTGCGAGGGTGAAGTGAAGCAGTAGGCATTACACTGTAAAGGTTGTGTTGGTAAGAGTTGGAGAGAGACAGTTTTAGGATTGCAAGTGCATTCCCATTTGTCCTCACTCTTCGGGGCACTTGTGTTGAGCTCTCCTTTGCACGGTGGTTTTAATTGTCATCTCCCTAATTATTAATAAGACTAAGCATATTATGACGTTTATTGGCCATTTTAATATTCTCTTCTGTGAAACATCTGCTCAGATCCCTTGATTACTTTTCCCATTCATTATGTTTCTTTTCCTTTTTTTAAGAAATAGGGTCTTGGCTGGGCATGGTGGCTCACAACTGTAATCCTAGAATTTTGGGAGGTGGAGGCGGGCAGATCACCTGGTGTTAGGAGTTTAAGACCAGCCTGGTCAACATGGTGAAACCCCATCTCTACTAAAAATACAAAAATTAGCTAGGCATGATGGTGGATGCCTGTAATCCTAGCTACTAGGAAGCTGAGGCAGGAGAATCGCTTGAACCCGGGAGGCAGAAGTTACAGTGAGCTGAGATTGAGCCAGCATGGGTGACAGAGCGAGACTCTGTCTTAAAAAAAAGAAGAAGAAGAATTGGGGTCTTACCTAGGCTGACTGAGACTTTTGGGCTCAAGCAATACTCCCAAGTAGTTGGAACTACAAGTGTGTGCCGTTGTGCCCACCTCCATTTTTTTGTTTGGTTGGTTTCATTTGGTATACTTTTCTTCATTTGGAGCTGTAAGAACTTCTAGTGTATTTGGAATACAATTATTTTGGTAGTTGATATGTATTGCGGATATCTTTTCCTAATGCCTTTTACTCTCACAATAGGACCCTTTAATAATTAGGAGTTCTTAATCTTAAAGCTGTTTACTCATCTTTTTCACTGTTTTAGCACTTTTCAATCTCCTCAAGTACTTATTTCTCCTGTCTAATTGAAACCTTGTACGCTTTAACCAACACTTCCATTCCTTCCACCACCCAGCCTCTGTTACCCACCATTCTGCTCTCTGCTTCTGTAAGTTTGATTGTTTTTGGTTTCACTTATAAACGAGATTATGCAGTATTTGTGTTCCTGTGCCTGGTTTATTTCTCTTAGCATAGTGTCCTCCAGGGTCATCCATGCTGTCCCAAGTAACAAAATTTCCCTCTTTTTAAAGGATAAATAATATGTTGTTTTGTCTATATACCACATTTTATTTATGCTGTCATTTATTTTTTAAAATTTTTGTTTTTAGTTTTGGGGTACATGTGCAGGTTGTGCAGGATTGTTACATAGGTAAATGTGTGCCATGGTGGTTTGTTGCGCCTTTCAACCCATCACCTAGGTATTCAGCCCAGCTAGTATTAACTATTTTTCCTAATGCTCTTCCTCCCGGTGCTGCACCCCCAACAGGTCCCAGCCTTTGGTATTCCATGTATCCATGTATCCTCATTGTTCAGCCCCCACTTATAAGTGAGAACATGCAGTGTTTGATTTTTTGTTCCTAAATTAGTTTAATGAGGCTAATGGCTTCCAGCTGCATCTATGTCCCCGCAAAGGACATGATCTTGTTCCTTTTTATAGTTGCATAGTATTCTGTGGTGTATATGTACCATATTTTCTTTATCCAGTCTATCATTTCTATCATTGATTGACATTTGGGTTGATTCCATGTCTTTGCTATTATGAAAAGTGATGCAATGAACATCCATGTGCATGAATCTTTACAATAGAATGATTTATATTCCTTTCGGTATATACCCAGTAATAGGATTGCTGGATCAAATGCTATTTTTGGTTCTAGATTTTTGAGGAATCACCACACCATCTTTCACAATGATTGAACTAACTTACATTCCCACGAATGATGTAAAAGTGTTCCTATTTTTTTTGCAACCTCACTAGCATCTGTTGTTTCTTGGCTTTTTAAAAATGACCATTCTGCCTGGCATGAGATGGTATCTGATTGTGGTTTTGATTTGCCTTTCTCTAATGGTCAGTGATGTTGAGCATTTTTTCATGTTTGTTGGCTGCATGAATGTCTTTTTTTGAAAAGTGTCTGTTCATGTCCTTTGCCCACTTTTTTAATGGGATCATTTTTTTTTCTTGTAAATTTGTTTGAGTTCCTTGTAGATTCTGGATGTTAGACCTTTGTCAGATGGATAGATTGCAAAAATTTTCTCTCACTCTGTACATAGTCTGTTCACCTTGATGATTGTTTCTTTTGCTGTACAGAAGCTCTTTTGTTTAATTAGATCCCATTTGCCACTTTTTGCTCTGATTGAAATTGCTTTT